TTTTCTGTTGTTGCCTCAATGACAAAATTACGTTTAAATTACCGGGGCAATCGAAAGGTAGCCCAAGGTTTTGTGCAACTAGTCTCCCACGGTGCTTTGCTGGTAAAGTATTACGGAAACTGTAATTTTTTTAACAGCTGCTTTTTGGCATTCCCTAACTACAAAAGGGTTTTATATAGAATGGCATGTTTTAATTTTAAAAAAAGGATATTAATTTAACAATAGAATGCAACAGTTTTATTCTAAATGCCCCCATGTGGCCATATATTTAACTGCAGAATAATACAAACACCTGCTTTTAGACCAGATTCCTCAAATTAGACCATTCTGTTATTCTCTCATAAACATTTGAATTTTTGTGATCCAAAATGAAAGCAACTTTCATTCTTAAAGATACACTTTAGTCACGAAAACAACTTTAGCTATATGAAGCAGTTTTGGTGTATTGACCATGCCCCTGCAGTGTCACTGCTCAATTTTCTGCAATTTAGGAATTAAATCACTTTGTTTATGCAACCCTAGTCACACATACCTGCACGTGACTTACACAGCCTTCCTAAACACTTCCTGTAACGAATCATCTAATGTTTACACTTCCTTTATTGCAAATTCTGTTTAATTTAGAATTTCTTATCTCATGCACTGTTAATAGCTTGCTAAACCTTGCAGAAGCCTCCTGTCTGTCATCGACTCCTAAACTCCTAAATGGCAGAGAATTTAGCAGTGAGACTTCAGAGGCATAATCTATACATCAAAACTCCATCATTAAGCTAAGGTTGTTTTGGTGACTATAGTGTCCCTATAATCATAAAGGCTGTGAAGCTAGCTGCTCTGTAAATACCACATTATTTTATTTATGTTTAGCAGTCATGGGATTAATCTTGTCTAAAGCAAGCCTGAAGTTCAACATACTGTCATTCCATAACCCGTGCATTGTAAGGAACAAACCAGGATAACTCAAATTTTACACCAAAACAGCTGTGCTAGAATAATAACAGAATTCTAGAATTTTTCCAATTTGACAGTATATTTGCCTACTAATAATCTGCATGGGACAGAGTTGTGACTGGGCTCTATCGATCCAAGGCACTGAGTGTTTTGCACCACCCCTGGCCACATTTTGTCAGGTGGTCTAGTGGTGTTAAAAGGAGATTTCTCAATGAAGCTGAAGACATCTCGTTTTGCCTTAAAGGGACACTATAGGCACCCAGACCACTTCAGCTCATTAAAGTGGTCTGTGTTCAGTATCCCTGGTCCCTTAAAGGACCACTAAACTTGTTTTCCTGGCACTATAGGGTCTTTAGATCCCCCCCCCCCCGCACCCTCAGTGTCCCACTCCCGCTGGGCTGAAAGGAGCTTACTTTTCTCCAGCGCCGAGCTCCCTCTGCGCTGGGGAACTCTCCTCCCTCTGCCGACGTCAGCGCCAAATGTGCATGCGCATTCAAACAGTCCATAGGAAAGCATTTCTCAATGCTTTCCTATGGTCGTCCAGCGTCTTCTCACTGTGATTTTCACAGTGAGAAGCGCGGAAGCTCCTCTAGCGGCTGTCAGTCAGACAGCCACTAGAGGCTGGATTAACCCTAATGTAAACATAGCAGTTTCTCTGAAACTGCTATGTTTACAGCTGCAGGGTTAACACTAGATGGACCTAGCACCCAGACCACTTCATTGAGCTGAAGTGGTCTGGGTGCCTATAGTGGTCCTTTAAACCTGCAAAGGTAATTTTTGCAGATTTTGAGAAACTGCAATAATTACTATCCAGGGTTAACACCACACAGTCACTAGAGGGAATTCCGGGTGCAGGATGTTCTCACGCTATGCATAAGGTCATCCAGAACGGATATATATTTGTAACAGTCATCGTGCGATCCTGGAAGAGGGCAAGAGAAGGCATTGCTTGTGTAAAGCATAGATATTTTCTTTCTTTTTTTAAGCAAACCCATTTTAAAGTCACACAATGAAACAATTAAAGAGAATACTCCTCCTCCAGAATTGAAGGAACTGCCCAAGGCAGCTGAAATGTAAATAATATAACTTACCTGATAAGGAAAGAAATAGTCCTGTCCAGACTTGACCAGGATAATCTTCTTAAGACTCGATATTCCATTATTGACATCCTGCCCATAGAAAGAACAGTAATCAGACTGAGCTTAGTGACTGACAACAGCTAATTTTTAGCATTAGAACAAAGCTAGTTTTTCTTCTGGTACACCTCAAAAGGACTAACCATTTCCCATACAAGAGCTACACTACATCCGTAGGCAGTGACCATACAGCCCAGGTGCTAAAGTTGGAGCTACATCGTAAGATCCAGAATAGTGTAAGTGTATCTCTCTTTTTTTTATCTTCCAAATACCAGAGACTTACTACAGTATCAGTCCCTGTATTCTCTGCTGGTTTTGTCATTCCATAAACCACAAAGGACATTCAAGGCTCTACACCTACACCCCATTCCATTCCCCCCTGTTCTACCACATTTCTATTCACTGGAGAAGAGAGACACTGGATTCGTGGATTCGGTGGTGTAGCTGCCTGTAAGAACTGTATCAGTATTATCTAGGGGCTCAATATTTTTCATTTTGTTTTCCCTAATGTTGTGATAGCCTTTATACTTATTTCTTCGGATGGACCCCCTTTTCGTACACACAGCGGTTCAAAAAGAGAATAGTCAAGAATACAGAACAGCATCACCAGAGAGGAATCCGCAAGATGAATTTACCTTGCTCTGAGGAAGAATATTGAATTTGTAATAACACTTATCCCAGCCGCCAGGGCAAAATGCCTCATCGCCATGGCAATGTGGCACCTCGGATTTGTTAAGCCTGTTCAGCGTCTGCAGAATCAGCCTCTCTGGAGCGGTGGCTGAGGCAGAATGAAGCAGGGCGGCGAGGGAGCTGTAATCTCGAAGCTCTTCTTGCTCTGATCCCTCGCGCCAAGCTGTAAGGACGGTTGCGGGTTATAACCTCACTCTAGCCCCAGCATCCCTAAACAGCACACGAGGGAGAAAAGCAAGAGCTTTTCAGCAGCTACCCTGGACCCCAAAGAAAGGGAGGCTGGGTGGGCTGAAAGGGGCACTCCAGGCAACAAAACAACTTAATCTTAATGAAGTTGTTATGGTTACAGGAGGCCCCCGGGTGCACTCTTACCTTCTCGAGCGGTTGGCCAAGAGTGGTCAGCTGATGCTCTCAGACAATCAGGGGCACCGCATTCACAAAACTGGTTTGGAAAGAAACTTACCTTTTCCAGCCAATCTGCTGTGCCCTTGCAGGGCGGCACTCCACCCTTCCTGAAACGGAAAATTCTGAAGCTGGATACCGCCTGGGGGCGAATTAGTTGAGATCAGCGCTGGAGGCAACTATGGGATTAAACCGCTTGAGATCAGTTTAACCCCTGAAGGTAAGCGTGCACCCAAGACCCCCCTGGCACCTTAACAACTTTCTTTAAATGAAGTTGTTATGGTGCCTTATGCTGACTAAACTGCTCCTTTAAATAAAAAAAAAAAAAAACAATTTGAGACTGTGTGTGAGAATATATGTGTGTCAAATTACTGAGTGTGTTTAGGTGACCGGCCCCCCTGCAGTCCCATGGGAAAGTTATTTTTACTCACCTTTTCCCCCACGCCATGCCGGTCCCACTGTGGCTGGTCGTACCTCCATGATGGAGATAATCAATCTTGATGATCTAATGCCAAATCAATGTTTTCCCATAGGAAAGCATTGGGAGATTATTGCACGTGAGGCAAACCACCACACTGCGCCAATCAGCATCTCCTCATCATAGAGCATTGAGTCAATGCATCTCTATGGGGAACATTCAGCACCTTCATGCAGAGCATAGTCTAAGAAGCACCTCTGACTGTCACTAGAGGTGCTTCTAGCAATGTAAACACTGCCTTTTCTCTGGAAAGCCTGCAGGGACAGACAATAGCCACTAGAGAACTACATTAAAGCTGTAGTGGATCTGGTGACTATAGTATCCCTTTAAGAATTGTATTTTTATTGTTGAAAATAAAGCTTTGTTAGATTAAAAAAAAACAAAAAACAAAAAAAAAACCTGGCTTTTAAATTCAAAGCTAATTTGTCAGCCTCGACTTATGCCATTAGTATGCACATGCATCCTGTTTATTGTTATATTTACTTCAATCTTTTCTCTTAAAGGGACTCATTAAAAGTTGTATTCCTAACACTATAGTGCCCTCTAGTCGCCCCCTCCCTCATTCTGCCACACCCAGCAAATGAAGGGTTAAAATACTTTATTTACTCAACCGATTCCAGCGCAGATGTTCATCGACGCTGAATAGATGGTCTGCCTCCTCCGACCGGGGGACTTAATGCACATTAATGCTTTCCTATTGGGATTTTCCCCAAAGCTGGATGTTCTCATGCAGGCCATTAAGACATCCAGCGTCGTTTAAGGGACCCAGAATCCTGTAAACTCTCAGAAGCACCCCTAGTGACCATATGGCAGACTCAGTACTGCAATGTAAACATTGGAACTTCACAAAGACCTTATTGTTTTAGATAGGGATCAACCGATTATCAGTCTGGTCGATATTCTGTATTTTCAGCAATATCAGTATCGGCTAATAAAGATACCGATATTGCCCATAATGCAGACCAGTGCCGCCATCATGGTCCTGGGGGGCCCAGCACACTCTTACTTAGCCAGCAGCTCCCCTGTCTAAACCTCAGGGCTGTCAGAGCGTTGCCACGGGTTACTAGGCCGAGAGAGTTAGACAGGGGAGCTCCTGGGAAGGTAAGTATCAGCGTGCTGGGCCCTCACTGCACAGTCCATGCCACCGGACCACCAGGGAATGCCATATCCCACTCCCTGGCCATGTAAAGAGCAGGGAAGGGGGATTAAAAAAAATATATTTATAAAATGCTCCCCCCCCCCCCACTTAACATACCTACACAAAACACACACATTCTGCATTCATTATATACACACACACACACACACACACACTACAAACACACTGCATTCACTAATCAAATACTCTCGCTGAATCCATTACACACACATTCTTGAAAACATAAAATATTCTGACTGGCATATATATTTTGTGCATTTACCTTAATTAAACAAAAAGATTTGCAAACAAATAATAAACCTGTTTAGTTAACAGATTTGTGTAGAGATTGTTTATTTTTAAAATGGTAAATGTACAGAATATCGGTAAGTTAATCGGCTATCGGCCTGAAAGTTCACAGAAATCGGTATCAGCTCTAAACAATCAATATATCGGTTGATCCCTAGTTGTACATTGCAGGACTACGGGCAACAGGGACAGTGCACCCAGACCACTTCAATGAGCTGAAGTATTCTGGGTGCCTATAATGTCCCTTTAATAATCAGTCACATGACCCAACTTACAAATTTCCCAGTTTACCTATCCTCCCTTTTAACCCTATGAGCATCACAACCTTTACTTTTCCTCCTCTTTACAAGATCCAACTTAATGTCTATGGAAATACAAGTCACAGGTGTACACAAGCTGATTTTTGTATCTTTCTTTTAAAGGGCCAGGGGAGAAAAACATTGTTTCAATATCACAAAATAAATTTTATCTATCTATATCTATATATTTCTCCCCCCCCACCCGCCTGGGAGATCAAATTGCAAAATAGTTTTAACGTAACATTTTAAGCACCATAACTACTACAGCAGTCCTTAGGAGCCAACTCTGCATTCTCTCAAACTGTTCGCAATTTAATGTTAATATATTATGGAGATAAAGGTTATAGGACAAAGATAGAGGTGTACATGCAATCCATGTATATGTAGTAGCATTGAAACACCCAGAAGGTGGCATCATGTGGAAAGATTAATTTGCTTGATGCAGAAGCAGACATCTTGAATAAGAAAAAAAATACACAAATTCTTGTTTTTTGTCTATTATTTATTTAGAAATTTACCGTATTTCCTATTAAATATACAAGTGTACACAAATTAGTTGGACATGTAGTAATTTACAATTCAGCCAGTCACACCAACTGTCTCTGGCATTATAACTGGCTTGTATTTAAGTTGGGATAACCTTTCATTTTCCTGTGAGTGCAGATCATTAAACGTGAGTGTCCTCATATGATCAGGAAGGTGAGCAAATTCTTCTTCATTCACATCAAAGTCTTTCATCTTAGATTGGAGAAACCACCAACGCCCAAAAAACCCAACATCTAGAACCCTGCTTGGAAAATCTGACCAACGTGGCTTAAGGTGTGGGCAGTGTGCTGGGTAGAGATCAACATCCGGGTCATAGGGGGCTTCGTAGACAAGAGAAACCACAATGAGGTTTAGGTAACGGAGACGACCTTCATTTGACAGATTTGTGAGGTTCAGCACATGTTGGTCAGATTTCCCACTTCGTGTCCACGGAGAAAGGAGGAGGAGTTCGGCAGAGGCTTCTAAAACAGAACAGTGAAAGGAATCCTCTGAAGGAGCCTTAGAGGAGCATACGCCAATTCCTGTGAATAGTGAGAGGTAAAACGCAGCTTTGCCTGGATGCTCTTTGGCCCCTGTTACAATATCCTTGCACGCTTCTCCATAGTCATGAATGAGGCTTTTCATCCACACAGCTGTCAGAAAAAAAAAAAATAAATAAGCCAGAAAAATCACATTTCACTTATTTTTTTCCATCTTCTTCCCTCATTTATACATAGCTACTCTGTAGTGAGCCTTACGATTTGAACAGATATTTTTGGTTGTGTTTTTTTGTAGTTTACATGCTGCTAGTTTATGAATAACTTACTTGGAAATTCTCATTTATTTAGATCTGTACTTTCTTGTTTATTATATGGTCAGTCAGTGTTTTATTTATTATTGCATATGTCACTGTCTCGTGTTTTAGCTTAAATATCAACTTAATAAAAATATGTTGCACAAAAAGAAAACCAAATTGCGAAGCTACATTAATCTCTGCTGGAGGTTATAGTACTTTTAATCTATACTTTTGCAGAATGACATGACAAGGAGTTATGGGAACCAGTGACACAGTGAGATAAAGCTATGAGGCATGTCCCTCCCAGCATAGTGTGACACAGACGGGAGGGAGCTATGGGACATGAGTGACAGTGTATGTCATATATAACCTCTACTGTATATATAGAGGTTTATTGCAGGATGCACAGAGGTTACATTACGGTCTCATTGAGGTCAGTTACGGATTTATAGCAGAGGTGGCTCTCTAACCAGACGGTTTAGGCGGCCGCCTAATGGCAGACTGTGTTGGGTTCTTGGTCAGTGATATGCCGCCGGGTGCGAGACCCCTCCAGAGAGCGCCAATCGCAGACACGTCTTCAGTGTGCAGAGCCCAGAGTGTTGCTGCGGGTTACCACGGCACTGCTCTGACCGGGTCTCGCAAGATAAATGGTCTGCAGCTCTGCAGACCGGTTATCCCCACTGGACCACCAAGTTATGACAAAAGGTATTTAGTCCCCCTTCCCTCATACCATCATCCACCTCCCCCCCATGCCAGTCTCCCCCTCCCCCATGCCAGTCTCCACTACCCTTGCCAGTCTCTCTCCCTCCCCCATCCCAGTCTCTCTCCCATCCATGCCAGTCCTCCCCATCCATGCCAGTCTCTCTCCCATCCCATGCCAGTCTCTCTTTCCATCCCATATAGTCCTCTCTCTCCCATCCATACCGGTCTCTATGCCAGGTCTCTCTCTCCCCATCCCGTACCAGTCTCCCCATGCAGTCTCCCCATGCCAGTCTCTCTCTCCCCCATCCCGTACCAGTCTCCCCCATGCCAGTCTCTCCCTCCCATCCCATGCCAGTCTCTCCTCCACCCCCCATGCGGTCTCTCCTCCCCCATGCGCAGTCTCTCCCTCCCCCATTGATCTCCCCATCCATGCCAGTCTCCCCATCCCATGCCAGTCTCTCCCCCCCATGCCAGTCTCCCCATCCCATGCCAGTCTCTCCCATGCCAGTCTCTCCCTCCCCCCCCATACACTCCCCATGTTACTCTGCACACTCGGCTCTCGGCCCGGTTTACCCATTTTGCCGGTTCTCAGTCTCTCCCAGCGGCCGGGTTTCTTTATTTCCGCTGCCGGTGAGGGGTTCGCAGTGGCGGCCGCAGAGCACGACCTCCGCCATAGGACGCGGACACAGCGCGCAGCCATGATCATCTGCCAGCACTGCGCTAACTTCCGGCTTCAGCTGCCCTTAGCTGTCCGTCCGAATCGCCCTCCGACCGGAAACATCCGACTCCCACCATTCAGTTCCTGTCACTGTGCCCGCGGCACCCGCACAGCCATCGTGGCCATTACTGCGTGTTTCTATTCCGGGGGGCGGGGCCGTGACGGGGTTGGGAGAAACCATTGCGAGTTATGACTGGGGGGGGAGGAGGTGTGAGATGATTAGGGTTTATGATCCTGCACGCGGTGACTGTGTGCCCCGCTCTCTCTCTCTGTCACACTGTGTGTGGGCGGCTCTGACAGGCTGTGCAGGGAGGAGCTGGCAGGGATCCCCCCCCCGGCCGGGATTGGTACAGTCCGAGTGTGAGCTGAGGCGGAGGCTCAGTGTTTGGAGCTGAGTGAGAGCTTCTAGGCTGAGCTGAGTGTGAGTGAGGATCCAGGACATGGTGTGAGTCAGACAGCATGGCTTCAGCAGACCTCAGGTTCCAAGGTAAGGACTCCATCTGAGTGACACTCACTGTGACCTGCACTCAGCCCAGGCACACTCACTGTGACAGTCACTCAGCCAGCCAGGTACACTCACTGTGACAGTCACTCAGCCAGCCAGGCACACTCACTGTGACAGTCACTCAGCCAGCCAGGCACACTCACTGTGACAGTCACTCAGCCAGCCAGGTACACTCACTGTGACAGTCACTCAGCCAGCCAGGCACACTCACTGTGACAGTCACTCAGCCAGCCAGGTACACTCACTGTGACAGTCACTCAGCCAGCCAGGCACACTCACTGTGACAGTCACTCAGCCAGCCAGGCACACTCACTGTGACAGTCACTCAGCCAGCCAGGTACACTCACTGTGACAGTCACTCAGCCAGCCAGGCACACTCACTGTGACAGTCACTCAGCCAGCCAGGTACACTCACTGTGACAGTCACTCAGCCAGCCAGGCACACTCACTGTGACAGTCACTCAGCCAGCCAGGTACACTCACTGTGACAGTCACTCAGCCAGCCAGGTACACTCACTGTGACAGTCACTCAGCCCAGGACACACTCACTGTGACAGTCACTCAGCCAGGACACACTCACTGTGACAGTCACTCAGCCCAGGACACACTCACTGTGACAGTCACTCAGCCCAGGACACACTCACTGTGACAGTCACTCAGCCAGGACACACTCACTGTGACAGTCACTCAGCCCAGGCACACTCACTGTGACCTGCACTCAGCCCAGGACACACTCACTGTGACAGTCACTCAGCCAGGACACACTCACTGTGACAGTCACTCAGCCAGGACACACTCACTGTGACAGTCACTCAGCCCAGGCACACTCACTGTGACAGTCACTCAGCCCAGGACGCACTCACTGTGACAGTCACTCAGCCCAGGACGCACTCACTGTGACAGTCACTCAGCCCAGGACACACTCACTTTGACAGTCACTCAGCCCAGGACACACTCACTGTGACAGTCATTCAGCCCAGGACACACTCACTGTGACCTGCACTCAGCCCAGGTACACTCACTGTGACAGTCACTCAGCCCAGGACACACTCACTGTGACAGTCATTCAGCCCAGGACACACTCACTGCGACCTGCACTCAGCCCAGGACACACTCACTGCGACCTTCACTCAGCCCAGGACACACTCACTGTGACCTGAACTCAGCCAAGGTACAATTACTGTGACTGTCACTCAGCCAGGCACACTCACTGTGACAGTCACTCAGCCCAGGTACACTCACTGTGACCTGCACTCAGCCAGGACACACTCACTGTGACCTGCACTCAGCCCAGGCACGCTCACTGTGACCTGCACTCAGCCCAGGCACGCTCACTATGGCCTGCACTCAGCCCAGGCACACTCACTATGGCCTGCACTCAGCCCAGGCACACTCACTGTGACAGTCACTCAGCCCAGGTACACTCACTGTGACAGTCACTCAGCCCAGGTACACTCACTGAGATATTCACTCAGCCCAGGTACACTCACTGTGACCTGAACTCAGCCAAGGTACACTCACTGTGACAGTCACTCAGCCAAGGACACACTCACTGTGACAGTCACTCAGCCATGCGCACTCACTGTGACAGTCACTCAGCCCAGGTACACTCACTGTGACAGTCACCCAGCCAAGGTATACTCACTGAAATATTCACTCAGCCCAGGTACACTCACTGTGACATTAAATTACTGTTACATGTGCTTACCTCATTTATCCGCACCCTGTGTTGTGTATCCAGCCCAAGTATACCTATCCCATCTTACCTCTTACTGTGACACTCAGATCTACACAGTACTATTCCCCTGGGTATTACTTTCCGATATACACAGTACTAGCCTACTGAGTGTACCAGTCTGATATACACAGTACTACCCCACTGAGTGTACCAGTCTGATATACACAGTACTAGCCCACTGAGTGTACCAGTCTGATATACACAGAACTAGCCCACTGAGTGTACCAGTCTGATATACACAGTACTAGCCCACTGAGTGTACCAGTCTGATATACCCAGTACTAGCCCACTGAGTGTACCAGTCTGATATACACAGTACTAGCCCACTGAGTGTACCAGTCTGATATACACAGTACTAGCCCACTGAGTGTACCAGTCTGATATACACAGTACTAGCCCACTGAGTGTACCAGTCTAATGTAAAGGTTGCCACACAAAGTGCATTAGTTGGGGATACATAGAACTGGCACATGAGGTCAATTTCTGGACAACCCGACAGTACATCTGACATTGGAATCATCCTCTATTGCCAGAATTTGATGAAGCAGCTGACCTTCTAGCTGCCAGTCCCGATGCCTCAACGATGAGTACGAAGCCGGAGAGTAAAGCCCAGCATGCCACACTGCACATGGGGGCCGACAGTGAGGGAGATGAAGGTGAAACAGATCAGACAGAGGTAAGAGTCAGTCTGTATCATTTGTCTTAGTTAATCCTCCCAACCAATGAAGAAACCAGTATTTGTCCTAATATTTCTGGTTTAAATGTTCATCAGCTTTGGCCAGCCATCACATCACGTTTTGTTCATACCTGGCTTAGCTTTTTGTTTTTTTGTTAGCAGCTAAGCAGTGCATTTCTGGATACGTGTCTAGTAAACAGTTAAAATGTTATAAGTATTTCCCCTTTCTTTCCAGCTTCTCGCTGCCCAGAAGAAGCCATCAAGTTTCTGGACCTTTCAGTACTATCAGGACTTTTTCGACGTAGACACATACCAGGTAAAGAGCAAGCACTACATGGGGTAGGGTGCATCAGCTAACATGGGCAGATGTAAATTAAATCCTCCTTTTTCGTTTCAGGTATTGGATAGGATTAAGGCCTCTGTTATCCCCCTTCCTGGGAAAAACTTTGTACGGCATCATTTGAGGAACAATCCTGACTTGTACGGACCGTTCTGGATCTGTGCCACGCTAGTCATCACACTATCCATCATGGGAAACCTTTCAACATTCATTCAGATGCACGACCGTGCTGGTTACAACTATAACCCTCAGTTTCACAAAGGTTGGTTTTTACGGCTCTGTGTAACGATGCTGAATATGCAGTCTCATTGTCTCATTTAGGTATCCAAAAGCTAATGTTTCTGTCTTATATGCACAACTGAATGAAGAGAAAAGGCAATCTGAAGAAAAAGAGAGAGTAAAAACTTAATATTTATTTTAATTTATATAAAAAGAAAATGGTAAAAACATGGTGGTGGGTAACACCCTAATCAATTATTAGAAAAACCAATCCTGTCATATGAATATTCAGTGTTAAAAAGAAAAAGCCATTCAAGTAACATTTACATAGATAAACACTTGTAGCAATTTATGTCAAAAACAAAACCTACAGAACAGTGGAGAAATCCTGGAGAGTGATAGCATAAGGAAGAGGCAAGTAGGAAAAAGAGCCCCTGAGAATCAGCCCCTAAACGTGCCTTCGATAGCACCTATGCTTAGTCTGAAATCCCACTGACCGCTGCTGGCTATAGGCTCCCTGATTGAAAAGAGACACAGATAAAACAAATGATAGGTATAGAGGAAAAAAGGTGATAATAGCCAGGTCCAACAGTGCTAAACACAGTCCATGTAGCATTATAGAAGCCATGTAGGCAGGATAGCAGAACCGGCTGTATTCAGAGCTCTATCGTTTCTCTCTCTCTTTAATTGCAGTAATATAATTAATGTCCCTTCTGTGTCACCCTGTTGGTGGAAAGACAGCCTCCATGTCCCATTGCTTCCTACCGCCTGTGTTACCCTGTATTGGTAGAGAGGTACAAACCCCAAGTCCCTGGCCTTATCTTATAGTTAGGACAGCCTTATGCCTATCCCACGCATGCTTAAACTCCTTTACTGTGTTAACCTCTACCACTTTAGCTGGAAGGCTATTCCATGCATCCACTAACCTCTCAGTAAAGTAATACTTCCTGATATTATTTTTAAACCTTTTTGCCCCTCTAATTTAAGACTATCCTCTTGTTGTGGTAGTTTTTCTCCTTTTAAATATAGTCTCCTCCTTTACTGTGTTGATTCCCTTTATGTATTTAAATGTTTCTATCATATCCCCCCTGTCTCGTCTTTCCTCCAAGCTATACATGTTAAGATCCTGCAATCCATGAACCAGTTTAGTAGCCCTTCTCTGAACTCTCTCTAAGGTATCAATATCCTTCTGAAGATACGGTCTCAGTACTGTGCTACTCCAAGGGTCTCACCAGTGTTCTGTACAATGGCATGAGCACTTTCCTCTTTCCTACTGTAATACCTCTCCCTATACAACCAAGCATTCTGCTAGCATTTCATGCTGCTCTATTTGTCTCCCCAAGGACCACTATGGTACCAGGGAAAACACTTTCAGTTTTCCTGTACTACTCTTCACCTAGTCAATGCCCCACCTGCGGGCTGTAGGGTGAGGAAAGTTAAAAGCATTACCTTTCTCCCAGCTGATGGGAGCTCTCGCCTCCCGATCCTCCTCCTCCTCCTCCCACTTCCCCATTTTTTTTGCAGCGTGGCAAGAGCTAGCATTCAGCCCGGTCTCTGCCTCAAGCATTCATAATGCTTTTCTGTAGATAGATGTTCTCACTGTGATTTTCATAGTGAAATCGCAAGCGCCTCTAGCGGCTGTCAATGAGACAGCCACTAGAGGATTTGAGGGCTGGATTAACCCATTCATAAACATAGCAGTTTCTCTGAAACTGATATGTTTATAAAAAAAAATGGGTTAACCCTAGCTGGACCTGGCACCCAGACCATTTCATTAAGCTGAAGTGGTCTGGGTGCCTAGAGTGGTCCTTTAAGTCATCAGAAATAATTACCCCGAAATCCCTTTCCTCATATGTTGAGGTTAGGACTATTATCAAATATTCTGTACTCTGCCCTTGGGTTTTTACGTCCAAGATGCATTATCTTGCGGTTATCCACATACTAGAATCCTTCCAAGGTGCCTCACAGTCAAAGGTGGCATAACCTCAATTCCAGAGTAAACCCCAAAAAATGGTCTGGACACTCAAATATACATCCAGTACAGACTTTATTGGACACAAATGTTTTGATTTAACAGAGTCTTTATCAAGCTGTAAAGAACCAACACATTCACAGTATCTTTTATTTATGTATAATATGGTGCAAAAGATGTACGACATCACTTCCGCTGTACATTGCAGCATTTTTGTAATGGGAACACAGCTGTAAGTAATGCTCACTAATCCTTTGATAGATATAGAGAGAGAGAGAGATATGACATTGTAAATGTGTTGGTTCAATTTAGCTTGATAAAGACCCAGTTGAGTCGAAATGTTGGCTTTCGTGTCCAATAAAGTCTGCATTGGATGTGTCCTTTGAGTGCCAGGACCTTTCTTTCTGCTATTCCATGTTTTGTTAGACTTCCTGTCCCAGAGCTGAACTGTATGCTATATTCTAGTGATCCTCTGCCTCCTCTGTTTCAGTGTCTGTGGCTGGTGTAATTATATACAGTTATGCCTGGCTTGTTCCACTTGCCTTATGGGGCTTCCTACAATGGAGGAAAGGCGTGATGCAAGGTGTGGGGTCTTACAGCTTCTTGGAAACAGTGTGTGTCTATGGATACTCCCTTACTGTCTATATTCCAACTACGGTGAGTGCACTATATAATCCTACATTAATTCATACTTTCTGGCCCTGCAGATGTTTATTGCAGTAATTATTACGATATCATGCTCAGGAGATGAGGCATGTAGCTAAGCCAGCTTATCTAACCCGTTTTAAGGTGTCCATTGGCACCTACCATCACAAAATGTTACAATCATTGGAGCGAAAAGGACGTGTAAACTCAATACTTTGTGTGTGTCCACAGACAAAGTAATATGCCAAATGTCTAATTTTCACAGGCAATTCCTGGCTGATGAATAATACCGTTTGTTCACAAACTGCAATTTAGTTTTTTCCTTTTAACAAAGATTATAAAACTAATGTACCCTCAAGGGAAGGATGCACTTTGCAATTTCTGAGGCTCCTGTATTCTCACTTGACGAGGTCTAAAGGTGTAGACACACAGGGTGTTCTTGTGGAGGGTAATATCATATAAGGATGTCCTTTACGTCTATTGCATCAGAAGCCTAACTCCACACTTTTCAGGCATCTGCAAACGCACCACTGTCAAAGAAAGAAAAATGAGTCCAAAACTAAATAAAAATGCAGAATTCCATTCCCAAACCAGGACTTGACAACACCCAATTAGCTAACTGGACACCAACTTCTCGAATTAATTTCAGCTTAAAAGTACTGGCAAGAAGGCTCAATCCAATACTTACTTTATTAGTTCACCTTGATCAAGTTTGCTTTAGCCCAGGGAGACAACTCTGAGAATACTCGAAGAAATATTGACCTAGTATGCCACCTTGTTGACTCTGACACCTTGTCTGGTCCTTTCTTCAGATGCGGAAGTGAGCAGCCTTTTAAATTTGAGCTTCTAACTCAACCTGGCTTTACTCTTGCCATGTGTTACAGCGGTCTAAGTCTTATACGCAAATTTGAGAGCACTGACGATAATGGGATCTAAAACTACATCATTCAAAATAGTGAATGGAACTAGGCAGGGATGACCCTTTTCACCTTTATTTATTTACATTAACACTTGTTCTGTTGTTGCACTCAATCTGTAAGCAGCCAGGAATTTCTGGGGCCAATGTAGAGTAATTAGAAAGTCATTTGGCATATGCAAATGACTTTCTAATTATTCTAACCAGCCCAATCATCTCTATGCGTCATTTGATCATCATTCGGGAGATCTGTCTGGTTATAAAGTTAACCTGACAAACTATAGCAATGCCAATACATGTCTTTGCCAAGGATGCAACATGGATAGGAGACTTAATCCAAGGGATTATTTTGGTTACATTCAAAATAAAAACGCAAAAAAAAAAAAACACATCCTAAGGGGAAATTAGTTTTGTACTGGACTGCTCACCCAAAAAGTGCTTACATGGAACACGCCTGAAGCGCCAACGTGCCAGGTGTGCATATCAATACTAAGCCACCTGGGCCCTTCACTATGGATTCTGTTTAATGCAGGCTCCTGTGGGATGTCAGAAAACCAATTCACCTGGCCATTACTGTGAGGGCTTCCGTCAGCAAAGAAATAGAACTCTGGGATTTATAGCATTAATGTTAAAAATCAGTAGACAGGTGATTGTACCATTGTTTCTGATGTTGCAACATCGCAATCTGGTTGAAAATACATTTCCTGTCATTGCTCTCAATACCTATAGCTGGGACACATACTTTTGGTAAAGGTTGGGGCTAAAATATATGGTTCTAGGAGCCACAGCCCATGACATTTTCTAGAGTTCGGTATAGCGATGAGTAACTGTGTTCAGGGTATAAGTAACAGTACATAAAATAACATCCTTTCTATAACTCTAATTGCAGATTTTGTGTGTGATTCCTTTTGAATTATTCCGATGGATCCTGATCATTGTGGCTATGAGTATCTCTGGTTTTGTCCTCGTTCTTGCTTTCTGGCCTCATATCCGCAACGACAACAAAATGGCTTCCCTTGGCATGGTGATTGGCATGATTGCTCTGCATGTCCTAATGGCTGTAGGCTTCAAGGTACCAACTGCCTGTATTCATTCCATGAAAAGTTATGTGATGGAAATGTGTGTTTTCTTTTTTCTATAAAAGGACAAAAAACTTTATTTTAATCTGACTATTACATTTCCAATGATGACTGGTATTCACAACTGCAGTGCCATATTTCCAAGTGCCCATTCTGTGTGGCTGCTTTCTCACAATATCACACTGTACAAAACATGTTTCACTAATGATCCTTAGTCATTTTTGTTTTGCTCCACCCATTCCTATGCTACAAAGTAATTTGTTTCCAATCTTCTATGTAAATATCTACATGCACCTTACCAAACAAGCATGAACTCATTGCCACTTTTAAGTTATTCCGCACTCCCTCCCCCCTAATAGATTTCTGGTATAACACGAAAACCATTCAAAGACCGAGTGTAATTGATAAATATGGAAACATCTTTTTATAGAGACAGTAACCTGAATTTCCACACCCTAAGACAGTGGTTTTCAACCTATATCCTGGAGAACACTAGTGTGCTGTAACAACCCAGAAGTCATTGAAGTAGCTTATCTTTTTAAGTCTCTTGTTTTTTTCAAAGAGATTACATGTATTGTAGCCTCAATCTGTATTGATTTGTAATGTATAC